AGATGGAGAGGAAGATGAAGATGGAGAGGAAGAGGAAGGAGATGTCCGGAGATGGGGAGGAAGGAGATGGAGAGGAAGACGAATGAGATGGAGATGGGGATGCCTCGCAAAGCGCACAGGAGGAGATGCAGGGGTGATTTCCTAATGTTGTTGGTGGCTTCAGAAGTTTGAAATCGGCATTAGAAAAGAGATATGGAAAAGCGGGATATTGAGAGATTTTGGATATCTCCAGATTTCAATTCCAAAATCTTTTTTACTCTCACCAAACATATATTTTGGGAAATCTATATCTCGGATATTGAAACCCATTTTTTTGTTTATCACCAAACAGGCCCTAATATGTTCTTGCTCTTTCACCTGCATAACAGTTAACATAGAAAAAAAGAATTAACACATCCAACTACCTAAACAACTCTTCAATAATTGAGCAGCCTGATTTAATATATTCTGGTGCCTTATTTTGTTGCACATGTGTCCATGCACACACACATTCAACTTCATTCTTTGTTCCCAATGCACATTCATATGCATCTTCTTTATGGTACTTGAGCGGTACTTAAGCTACATAACCTGTCATTTACTTTGCAGAACTTTTTTAGATTGTCTCCTGGATTTTGCTTTGCTGATGGCCTAGCTTCACTAGCCCTTCTACGACAAGGGATGAAGACCGACTCTGATGATCATGTTCTTGATTGGGATGTGACTGGTGCCTCTCTTTGTTATCTAGCTGTGGAGGTATTTTATTTGCAGATTCTATAATGCTTAGTTGGGATCAATGTAATATTCATCAAATTTGTAAATCATTAAGGTGTTTCCACATGAAGAAACATTATTGAAACTCTAAATTCTTATTTCTTAGTACTGTGGAAGATTTCTCCAATAAATAGACTCCATCTTTTGTTGTTTTAAAATCATCAAGAGTACTTTCCTGTTCTTTGATTTTCAGTACTTATGTTGAAAGCCCGATCATCCATCCTTACTTGAGTGCAAGCTTCACAATGTGTCCTATGAAATGGCATCATCTCTCTCAGATGAAATCAGTCATGCAAACTTGATAAAAACATTGTCTCTTCTCTGGACTCATGTGAATTAGATATTTGATTTTTCATTCACAATGTCCATGTTTAGTGTTCCTTGATTTTCCTGTTAGTCTTGCAGTATTGTTGAGGTAATGGACATGAATATAGCAAACATCTTAACTCATAGCTCATTAGCTCTGTTGTAATATTTTCGATGCACGTGGGAATGACAAGATGATGATTACAGTTTTAGAATATTCATCTCATTATTCTATCTTATAAAGGTAGTATTATGATGGGCGTCAGATGTAAAAAATTTCCACTATGTTTCTTTTCATGAACTTGTAGTGTTAATAAGTTTTATAAAATTAATCGACACTAAATTTAATGCCACTGAACCTAGTTGAAATTGAGGTGCTTAAAGTGATACTAATATATTAAGAGAGAAGTGAGTTTTACACAAATGTGATTATTTGTCACGTGAAAGAAAATGAAGATGTAAGGAAACTGAGTAAAGAGAGGGAAGATGACCGCACTGGACAGGTGGGGGGAGGGGGTCTTAAGAAACATTTGAGGGTCTACGCATAAACATTAAGGTTTACTTTTGTGGTATTGGTTTTTTTGTAGGATCATATATTGTCCTTATGGATCTATAGATAACAAAAAAGGGGAAAATGACAATCTTGTAATGTCAACATGACTAGCATTTGCATGGATCCATAGTGCATCAATCAAACCAAACAGAAAATGAACTTAATGACAATTAAATTTTGTGGTGCTAGATGCCTCGGATAACTTTGTATGATGTGCATGTTTATTTCCCTATATCAATCTCATAATCTGATATACCTATAACAACTACTCCCTCCGTCCCTAAATAAATTTCCATTTTTGACTTTTTGAGGATTTAAGGGAGGGATATTTTTGTGTTGACTTTCCAAAAATACCCCTGATGTGATGTATAAAAGTAAGATGTGATAGGTAGATTATTAGTAAAAAGGTATGATGTGATAGGTAGGGTATGAAAAAGTAAGGGGTAAAAGGGGGTTTTTAAGGGAAAAGAGAAGTTTATTTAGGGACAAAGAAAAAATGAAAGAGGAACTTTATTTAGGGACGGAGGGAGTATATTAAATCATGAATGTCTTGTGATATTTTCCATACAAGTGAAATAACCTTTCGAGGATGCCAGTTTTGTACATCCTTTTTATTCACTATTCCTTCATACAAAGGTTGTGGAAGGATGTGGCATAAAACTTTGCAACTACTTTTGCTGCACAAGTTTAGTATGAATTAACTTTGAAACTATCAATTTCATGCCTCCAAGTCCAACCCTAACATAATTGGTACTAAGGCGATGATAATGATGATGGCTATCTATTATTTTCTACACTTATAAATGATCACTGGATTTTGGAAAAGGAGTAACAGCTTTGATGTCTGACAGGCCTTCACGTATTTCCTTTTAACGCTTGGGATAGAGTATTTTTCACATCGAAGGATGACTCTATCAATACTTTATCAATGGTGGAAAGGATCAAAAGAGGCTGTCTATGCAACTTTCGGTAGCTCCTCAGAACCTCTTCTACAATCATCTGTAGATGTAACTTCTGAACTCGATGAGGACGTAGATGTTCAAACAGAGAGAGTTCGCGTGCTATCAGGCTTGACAGACAATGCAATCATATGCTTGTGTAACCTACGGAAGGTATGTGTAGATAGGTTAAAACTTTACATGCTTACTAGGTCAATAAATTGGGACTTTTCAGAAGCAAGCCTAACATTTCAGGTATATGATGGATGTAAGAATCATGGTCCTAAAATTGCAGTCCATTCGTTGACCTTCTCAGTCCAAGAAGGGGAATGCTTTGGTTTTCTAGGGACAAATGGAGCTGGGAAGACAACAACTCTGTCAATGCTATGTGGTATCATATTCTCATCACCATTAAAAAAATGTTTGAGATTCCATGGTAGATGAGGTTATCTCATTTGCTGATTTTTCCCATGATACAATTGATATGTTAAAATTTTTAAAATGTAGGATCCTGATATACCCGGGCTCAGCTCTACACCACGAACCTCCACATTTTGAGCTCAAACATATAACATGACTGAACCCACCCCGACCTAGTTTATTCAATCCGTTAAAGACTTAATAAATCATAAGAACTAAAATAAACACCAATTTAGTCCGCTATATTTCCCCTGGCTGAACTACACTAAAGAAAAGAACAAAGACCACGACTCGTCATAATACGGACTGATTTCATTGTCCCACACCGGTTATATGGGGAACTTGGTGATGGGTTTATATAGCCAAGGGTTCTCCCACCTTAACAGCTAGCTTTTAGGGTGTGGCTCTCCCTTGTGCTGTATCAATGGTATCAGAGCCAACCTCGGAGTGGTGGCCTGGAGAGAGCCAGCTGTGACCAAAGAGGACGTTGGTCCTTAAGGAGAGGCGAATGTTATGGACTGAAACCATTGCAAGGTATGGGACTTGTCCCACATCGGTTGTATGGGCAATTGATGTGGGGTTTATAGGCCAAATGTGTTCCCTCACCTATCAGACTAGTCTTTTGGGTTGAGTTCTTCCGTTTGGTCTGTAACACATCACGCATGCATCACTTTAGGAAAAGTTAATTTTGTAAAAGTTACTTTTTTTTCAAACTTACTTAGCTTTGTCGCCAGCTTATACTCATAAATTGTTATCCTCCCCTTTATATAAATCAGGCCCCTGCCCCTTATCTAAGAACACGTTGAAATGAAGCTTAAATAAAGTTAATACTCTTTGAGTGTGTTTTCTCCGAATAAGTGTGATGCTTGTTCAAACAATTTTCTGATGAAATATCTCTTAAGTTGGCTACTTTTGAGTCGTGCTAGGAGTCTAATCCTACACACTAGTAGTGATTAATGTGTGAGTGAAGATAACAAGCCCCAAGTTAAGATAAGAGTGTGTATATCTCTTAACACTGACCCTGATTTATCCCTCCCATTTTATTCTCCCATTTCGAATTCTCCTCCATATTCTCTCCTAAATCTCTTCTTTTCCTCATAAAAAATAACCAAATAAAAAAACTCGTCAAACACCTCTCATAATACTCCCCAATTTCTTCCTCCCCATACGTGATCCATAAATCCACCATTTTCTTATCTACTTAATAAGACCCTGGGTTTGGGTATAACAGATCCCTTTTCTGTCATGCCACTTCGATTGTGAAATGGATCCACTGTAGTACTATCAAATATGTCAATGATATGAACTTCTCTTTTCTCAACTGCTGACTTACTGAACAGGAGAAGAACAACCAAGTGATGGAACTGCATTTATTTTTGGCAGAGACATATGTTCAAACCCAAGGATTGCTCGTAGAGACGTATGCAATGATATCTACAGACCTTATACGTTTATTTTTAATAGAATGTTTAAAAATCTGATTTGCTTAGCTCTGTGAGTATTTTATGCATACAACTCATTATGTTTTATTTCTGCTGCTCAGATTGGATATTGTCCGCAATTTGATGCTCTACTAGAATTCTTAACAGTCCAAGAACATCTTGAGCTCTATGCAAGAATTAAAGGAGTACCAGAGTATGAGCTAGACGATGTACGCGTTTCTTAAACTTTTCAATTGCATCATTTGTATGTATACTGATGAAAAAGAGAATTTACCCTACTTCTAGAAAAGGTTCTATCCTCTGTCATGAGTAAATGGCAAAATGGGAGACTAAAAAAGAGAAGAAAAAGTGGTCATTTTAAAAGTAGCCGGCATGGGACACATCAACTCCACATTTTAAAATTAGTCAAATTTGTTTTGGGTGTGATCTGCATAAACTATGCTCACGTATGTGATTAGTCTATTGATCAATCAGTGGGTGATTTCTTCAAAGTAATTTGGACAGGTTGTTATGGGAAAGTTAGTGGAGTTTGACCTGTTGAAGCATGCTAATAAGCCATCATTTGCCTTAAGTGGAGGGAACAAGCGGAAGTTGTCTGTTGCAATTGCAATGATTGGAAATCCACCTATTGTAATCCTTGATGAGCCCTCTACTGGTAATTAGATGTACTTTTTCTACATTTTATATGATTTCTAGTTCCAACTCTCCATGTTGTGTAATCATTTGTAGTTTCAAACTTTAGATATTTGCATGCATGGCGACATCAGCATTCTTTTCATCATTATTGCTGTTTTTGTTCATTGTGTTTCCACTTTCCAGTTTCCACCTTTCCACTAGAAGCTCTCCACATGCACTCTAGTTTGATTGATGACCTTATTTCCTAAACGCCCATGAAATTTCTCCCAAGTTTTTTGTGCAGATTATATGCATGTAACTTTTAGAGATTGCAAAAACTGATGATGGCTGATTTTGAAAGAGCCTTAAGGTATTTTAGATTGCATTTGTGCTTGAATAGATGGACCAATGACAATAGAACTTGGGGTAGTTTTAGTCTACATCTATTATCCGCAACTGTAAGTTTCATAGGAAAAGTGGTCAACAATGCACAACAACAATAGACCAGTATATCCATAAACCCCTTGTAGGTTTGAGGGGGTCACGACGTACACAACCTTACACCGGGAAAAACAAAGAGGTTGTTTTGGTTAGGCCCTTGATGCATTAACTTCCCAAAATTTCATAGAAATAAGAAGCAAGAGAAGTTTAACCCTTTTATATATTCTTTTATGCACCAAACTTTCCTTGCTACAAAAAACTATACACACATTCTGTGGATGTTTTACCCACAGACTCGTAAAATTCTGAGTCAGTCTCATTGCACAGTTAGATACTGTTTGTTTCTTTGGTACATATTTTTACAAGGTAGGAACTTGACATGAAGTTATTTGTGCATTGTGCTGTCTTGATATTTTGGTTCCCAAGGTTGACTAACTGTAAATTTTTAGGAATGGATCCTATTGCCAAGCGTTTTATGTGGGAAGTTATATCTCGTCTGTCAACTAGACGTGGAAAGACAGCTGTCATCCTTACAACTCACAGCATGAATGAAGCTCAAGCTCTCTGCACAAGGATTGGGATTATGGTACAGTTTACCATTTGTGCTACTGCAATAGCTCTGACTATGAGCTAAAAATAATATTAGTCATCTCATCTGGGGTTATGAACAGAGGATAAATAGAACTGTCTGTACTTCCCTTTATTTATTTACTTACTTTTATGCAAATTATTTGAAGGTTGGAGGAAAGCTGAGATGCATAGGAAGTCCGCAACATTTAAAAACACGTTTTGGAAATCATCTAGAGCTTGAGGTAATACTGTAATAGTGAATATAATTTCCTTTCAACTGATATCCTTATAAACGGAGCACTATATAGAATTTCTTTACATGTGTATCAAATGTGTTTAGGTCAAACCAATTGAGGTCAGCTCAAATGACTTGGAAAATCTATGCCAGCTAGTTAAAGAGAAACTATTTGACCTTCCTCCCCTTCAAAGGAGTAGAGTTGATGGCATCGAAGTGTGTATGGGAAATATAGAGTCCCATACATCTGTTGCAGAGATTAGCTTAACAGCAGAGATGATAATGACACTTGGAAGCTGGCTTGGCAATGAAGAGAGAGTCAAAGAAATTGCATGTGCACCTGATGATTCTTCTGGTCGAGTTGAGCAATTAGTAGAGCAGTTAGTTCGGGATGGTAGGTGCTGGTATCAATAAGTTTACATGAACTTTTCTCATGATGCAAAATAAAATGGTAGCCTAGCCCAAGTTACTTGGGATAATAGTTGTCAGGGTGCGAACTGCGAAGGCGAGGTGCAGTGCCAGTGTGCTTACTACTGCCATGACGCCTAGGCGACAATTAGGACCTAGGCGGCATCACATAAGAAATCAGGATTGGTATACATTAGTTAGACTAAGTAACACTAGTATAAAACTATAAATATAAACATACAGGCTCTCTAAACCTAATCAAAATTCCAAATACACATACTAAAAAAATATAAACACACCATAATATGAAAAAAAGAAGAATATGAAATACGAAATAGGATTATAAAAGAATATGCGACTTCTTAGTACAAAGTAAATACTGCGTATGAAAAGGGTTACTGACTAAAAGGCATAAAGAATTTTCAAACAGAGACGCTTAGGCGAGGGATGCAAAATAAGGCAAGGCACACACATTTATTTTTTTTTAAATATGCTTCCTCCCACGGTATGCTCTCTGCAGTTCCCCCTTCCCCCAATAATGTGAACTATACGTCGTCCCGCCCAGTATTATATGGTCTTTTGCTGGTTACTTGCCATTCAAAGGTGAATTCTTGACCTTTTTTTTTTTTGCAATTACAAATAGGAGGAATTCCGCTTCCAATATTTTGTGAGTGGTGGTTGGCTAAAGAGAAGTTTTCAGCAATTGATGCATTCGTCCAATCTTCGTTTCCTGGTGCAGCATTTCAAGGCTGTAATGGGTTGAGTGTCAAGTATCAGGTAATGTCGATTCATCTTGATGAGTGTTAGAATATAAGTATCTGTTCCTGGGACACAACCACAAGCTTGAGCTTTTGGTTGAGTTGGTTCCTTGACATGGTATCAGAGCCTTGTTGACTAAGAGGTCACGGGTTCGAAACTCAGCGCCACCCAGTTTAAAAAATTTAAGGTTTCACGTGCAAGGCTCGAAAAAGACTACGCCTGCACGTGAGGGGGCGTGTTAGAATATTAGTATCTGTTCCTGGGACACAACCACAAGCTTGAGCTTTTGGTTGAGTTGGTTCCTTGACAATGAGCATGCATGAGTTTTTTTTTTATTTTAAAGTTTAACCGGGAGCATATAATGATATTTCCTTCTATCCTTTTTCTTGTTATGTTTTTAATATTATTACTCCTTCGACCCTTCCATATTTAATCTTCCCATTTCAGTTTACGATGCCTAAGTGAAGTTATTTTTTAATTTAGTTTCTTTGAATATTGGTAGGGATTCAAAATTTATGTATTTAAAAAAATATCAAAAGTTCTATAAACAAGAGGTGACATGACTATTTTATGTTAACTAATTTCTAAAGAGAACAGGTAAGGAAAGAAGATCTTGTTTGACCATGTGAATAGTAAATGGGAATACCAAATGAGGGTGGAGGGATATATTATTATTATTATTATTATTATTATTATTATTATTATTATTATTATTATTATTATTATTAGTATTAATGTTGTTTTTGTTATTGTTTTTATTATTATTATTGTTGTTGTTGTTGTTGTTACTATTACTACTGCTATTATTATTTTTGACGAGACACATGAGGGACTCAATGATCAGTTGGAAGTGTGGCGTCATTCCCTGGAATCCAAAGATTTCAGATTGAACCGGACTAGGAGTCTAGAACTGAATATGTGGAATGTTGCTTTGGTTGGGCAATTGAGTTAGAAGTGAGAGTAAGGATTGATTCACACCCGGTGCCTAAAAGAGATAAGTTTTGGTACCTTGGTTCAATCATTCAAGCAAATGGGGAGATAGATGGGGATATTATTCAGTGTATTGGAGCCTCTTGAGCAAAACAGAAGCTAGGTTCAGGTGTTTATTATGACAAGAAGATACCGACACACACCTTCCCTAGACCCTAGTGTTGTGGGACTGTACTGGGTTTGTTGTTGTTGTTGTTGTTGTTGTTGTTGTTATTGTTATTATTATTATTATTTATTGGTATTATCTTTGGTCCACACAAGTGCCAAGGAATGAGTTTGCTGGATAAAACTTTTACTGCTAGTCTGTGTGTTTATTATCATTAGACTTGGGCAGAACTAAGCACAAGGAATCAGCGATGATGACTCTTGATATTCTTGCAGTTGCCATATGGAGAAGATATCTCGCTGGCGGATGTATTTGGGCACATAGAGATGAACAGGTAAGTGCCTAGACAAATTGCATCAAATTTTCCCCGATATTTTAATTATTTAATTAAATCATGTCCTTAGTGCTGCAAATTACTGACTTTTACAGAGACCAGTTGGGGATTTCAGAATATAGCGTGGGTCAGTCCACACTTGAGACAATCTTCAATCATTTTGCAGCCAACTCTGCCTGCTGAACTCCGGGTTACCCTCATAAAAGACCTCCAGGCTGTTCACTCATTGACCCTTCCAGCCCTTAAACAAAGGTATATATACTCTGTCCATGTCCCCCCTCCTGTTTTGAATTGGTCACAATTTAACATAAGTGGAGCGAGCACTGCTTGGTTGGTATATAAGATATGATGATTGATGAATACATACACACGTAAATATAACAATACGACAATATTTGTCCCACAAAGATAGTTGAGTTTCAATATCGAACACGCTATCAGTGCTTTATTTTATTCTCTGCTTGTAAAAAGCTTCGCCCTTTCCCTTTTTGTTCGCCCCAAACACCCAAGTTTTTTTTTATGAGAGGGAAGGAGTATGTATGTACACTTAAATACACCATTCCATCTATATAATTAATTATTGTCACATGAGGGCATTTGAAATGTATGTAGTGTTTCAACTGCAAGTATTTTTTTTCTTTGACAAAGAGATAGTGGTCTATCTTTGTGGAACTGACAGTCTCTTTTGCACATGAAATAGTGAAATCTTATTCAGCATTTAAGTTCCAATTGCAATTGTGTTGCATGTGTTTTGGCTACACAAATGGTTATAGCCATCTATTAACAATTTTCTGGATGTTTATTGTGATTGTGTTTTTAGATTATGTGATTTTGGATGTTTAAGAATGCCAGCATCACATGTGCTCGGTCAATTCTGTAACTATAGATTGGTTTTGCCTAAGCAATATTGTCCGCATTTACATTAACACTATGTTTGGTTCAAGAAATTTGAAAGAGAATGAATTTCTCTCTTTTTCCTCACTAAAATGGAAGGAAAATTGTTATCTCTTCCCAACTTATTTTTGCTTCTCACTTTCTTTTCTATCCTTTTTTCTCTTTTCTTTTCCTCTTCAACCAAACATAAAAAAAGATTTTACACATCATTTTTTTTCTTTTCTGCTTTACATTTTTTCTGTAACATGATCCGATCAATTCAAATTTCAAATTTTGAATTCTGTGTACCAAACGGAGCCTTAGGAAAAAAATACTTAACTAAGACTAAAATATCTACGAAAAAATTAACCAAAATAATCTCAACTTTACCTAGTCTTTTAAATATAATCTCACCTTTCACTGTGATGCATAATAATCCCAACTTTATTGAAATTTGTCAGTTTTGGGTCGCTGTTAAATTTCTAACTGAGGGTTAACGGAAATGCCCGTTTTATGCAACAAAATGAAAGTTGGGATTATTTTTGATGAATTTTTGTTTTTTAATTTTTTTTGAAATTTTTATTTAAATTTTTTGAATTACTTTCAACTTCCATTTCTTTTTTTAAAGATTATTCTTACCTTAGAAAAAAATAGATATAAAAAATAAAGAAAATGAAAAAAATAACTAAAACCATACAAAATTAATCAAACAAATAATGTAATCAATAGAAATTAAATAGAAACTGGTAAGAAATAAAATAAATATATACGAAGTGGTGGGTTTTAATATTTTATACACTATATGGAGTCTCAATGTACTACTTATTTTTTAAAAACACAAGCCGTCCAGTAAAGTTGGAATTATTGTAGATTATTTTTTCTAAAAAATAAGAAGTGATATGTTAATACTTTGTATAATGCGCAAAATATGAAAACCCACCCGTATATTTTATTTTACTTTTACCAATTTCAAGTTAGTTTCCATTGATTACTTTATTTATTTTATTATTTTTGTACTCCGTATCATTTTAGTTACATTTCTCATTTTTTCATTTTTTATATCTATTTTTTATATTTTTTAAACTAAAACTAATCTTTAGAAAAGGAAAAAAAATGATGATGGAGGTAGAAAGTAATTTAAAAAATTTAAATGAAAAATTTAAAAAAAAATAAAAAAAATTAAAATTCATCAAAAATAATCCCAACTTTCATTTTGTTGCCTAAAACGGACATTTCCGTTAACCCTCCGTTAGAAACTTAACGGCGACCCAAAACTGGCAAATTTCAATAAAGTTGGGATTATTATGCATCACAGTGAAAGGTGGGATTATTTTTGAAAGACCGAGTAAAGTTGGGATTATTTTGAGCAATTTTTCCAATATCTACTATATTTCTTACTGATGCTTCACCTTGTTTTTCAAATATTTTAGTACCTTTAATTTTGTTAATAACAAAATAGTTAGCTCACTTTATTCATCCCATATTTTATATGTATAACTTTTTTCAATTTCTAAATATAATAAATTTAATTAAGACATGAGATTTTGTAACTTTTTTAAAGATGGTAATCTATTTTATGAGGGATTGAGCAAGTAATGTGATTAGTTTATATGGTAAAATAAAAGTAAAAATTTAAAAATTTAATATACTTAATGAAAGGCAAACATAGTTTCGTATTTTATCTGTTTTAGTTCTAATCGATTTCGGATATTATCAGTTTTGATCTAATCGGTTTTGGATTATATCAGTTTTGGGTCTAAATGGATTCGAGTTTAACTGGTTCAAATATGATCGATTTTAGATTTAAATCGGATTTGAATTATTTAGTTTGGTTTCGTTTCGGATTAGATCATTTTGGATTTTCAATTATAGATCAGATTTTCATTTTTCAAATCATTTTGATTTCATATAATTCAATTTGGGTAATTGGTTCTGATTCTGTTTTGCCATGACTAACTATAGCTCCTTGGCTCTATTGTCACATCACAAATTGTAAGAGATTTGTATTTGATTAATTATGTCATTGGTGTGTGGACCCTAATCTGACTAGAAACTCGCATCCTAATGTAGGTTAGGCCCAGCCAAACACGCCAAACACTATTTATTTCTTGCCACGAAGATTATTTCACGAGTGACATCGTAAGCACGTGATCCGTGATGGGGCAACTTCTTCGAGAGTTTGTTATGTCATACTACAAGTGTACTTAAGACTCTCTACATTAGTCCTAGAAGATATGTTCCGTAGGGTTGTAAACGAACCGAACCGAATCGAATATTAATGAAAAATATTCATATTCGTTAAGATGGAGTGATATTCGAATTCGAATTCGAATTCAGTTTGAATATTTTTTAAGATTTGTATTCGGTTCGTTTAATATATCAAACATATTCGATTCGTTTAAATATTCGATTTGTTTAAATATATTCAGTTCGTTTAAAATTATTTAGTTCATTTAGATTTTAAAATATTTTATAACCATTTGATATATATATATATATATATATATATATATATATATATATATATATATATATATATATATATATATATATATATTAGACCTGTGCAAACAATGGTCAGCCCGTTTGACCCGCCCAGCCCGCCCTTTAAAAGGGCGGATATGGACAACCTTCTTTAATACCCACATGGGCGGGCCGGCCCGAGCCCGAATTATATTTGGGCGAATCTGGAAGTTACTTTTAGTCCATCCGGGCCAACAGGCCCGCCCATATTCATTAAAAATATTTACTTTATTATTAATTATCTAGCCAATTTAATTTAGAAAAATTGTTATAGTTCATGTATAATAGTTCAATTCACTCACCTCTCTTAAACAAAAATCAATATTCTTTTTGTATATTCCTATTCTCCTTTTCTATTTACATTTTTACGTAAAAAAAATCAATATTCTTTTAATGAATTAGTATGATGAGTTTATTAATTATGCAACAATACCTCTGTTATGCTTTATGTGTAAATTTGGTGAAAAAAGAGTACAATGTTTTTTTGAATATTTTGTTTAAAAAAATTTTCTTTGTGTTTTATCCGGGTCGGGTGGCTCGGTGGGTAGTTCGGCCCGCTAAGGTGGGCGGGTATGGGTAAAGGGTTTAGACCATCAAATGCGGGCCGGGCTAAACCCGCCCATGTAAATGGGCTAATAATTTATATCGAGCCCGGCCCTGATCCAGCCCGGATCCTTATTTGCACAGGTCTTATATATATATATATATATATATATATATATATATATATATATATATATATATAATTTATATAATTAGATTTATATTACGAATATATTTGTCAAACTCACGAATCGAATACCCTTGATTCATATTCGTATTTGATAAAGATTTGAATATTTATTCAGATTCGTATTCGAATTTGAAAAAATCGAATACGAATCCCTTTAAACGAATATGAATCACGAATCGAACACAAAATATTCAATTCATTTACGTTCTTGTTCCGTGCACGTCCATATATACTATGACGAGTCGTCTTCTTGGTAGCCTGATCGGGTCTATAATTATTACACTTTTGATTTGCCACATCCCTCTAGTCGTTGAGTTGGCTGGTCATGCCTCTCTAGTTGACCACACCTAGGTCATTGTTTGTGTCTGGGTATAGGTTATACTTATCAATTTTAATACTCCGTAAATAAATACTCCCTCCGTCTTATATCTTTTTTCACTGTTCGCAAAATGAAGAAAAATTTCAAGTTTTTTAAATCTATTTTATTTAAATATTGGTATAGAAATAATAAATAAAACATACATATTTAAAAACTACATCAAAAGTTCAACAAAACAAGTGGTGACAAGAATATTTTATTTTATCATATAGGCCATGAAAAAACACAAATAAATATAAATTCCCGTGAAGTTGGAATAGTGCTCTGAGAAGAAAATTTTAGGACGGAGGGAGTACTAATTAAAGTCAGTAAAATTGTCCATTTCCTTTATCATCTCTTTTCCTAGTGTGAAAGTAACTCAATCTGAAATTTCCGATGCATTTTAAATATACCAACTCATATTTCAGATGATATCATATTTAACAAGTACCAAAATATTTTTGAGTAATTATGCTTGTAGTTGTCTCAATCAAATTAGAGTAGCAATGTCAAATCTTTTTATTTTTCAGAACACTGACCTCCAAAGTAGAATCCAAAGAAGGTGTATTATAATTTATAAGTAAATATTTATTCTGTTGTGAAATAAGTGAAATGTCCATCTATTCAATTAATTAGAATAAAACTCAATCAATAGACTTCAATAATAATCTCAAAAAAAAATAGACTTCAATAATATCTTCTTAGGTGTATTAATTAATTCTATAATATCAATTAGCACCAAAAATTTATAGCTCATCCTCTACTTATAGAAGTGTTCAATTTGAATTGTATTAGTCTTTCTCTTAAGTCTCTACATTATAAATAAAGGTTTAGTTTCCTGCAATGATACCAACAAGAAGATATCAACAAGAAGAGATATATCAATAGAGAGAAGAAATCAGGAATATATATTTATTCTTATAATCTCTGGGTAGAGAGAAGAAATTAGGAATGAGCAATGCTAGGGGTACACCTTTGGTGTACCCCAAATGTACCCACCCCCTTCTCCACCATTCATTTTTTTTTAAATTTCTTGCCTTTTTTGTATGGACATGGAGGGGGTGGGGGACAAATGGGGTACACATTTGGTGTACACGTAACATT